TGGCGAGATATCATCGAAGATAATGGTTCTTATCAGCAGCACGGTAGACGATTTTTAGATGGACTTTTAACAACAGTAGCTATATACCTGTTGACACAATTTACTGATTAGTAAAGTCGATGACACATTGCCATTGGTTGCAATGATGTGTATACCATACGTGGGATAAGATTTCATCTGTAAAGTTTATCCATTTCATCTTTTAAGAAAAGCATTCATGTAGCACTAGATAAGTGGTATATGGAACTGATAGAGATTTATGTTACCGAGAGCGATGCACAGAGATATTGGGAAATGAACACTGCCAACTTATAATCTTATAAAACAATAATAAATAATACAGGTACATCTGCTCCAGCTTCATATTTCCCCCGGAATGACTAAAACACTCACTGCATATCACTGCTCTGAGACGAAGTCCACAATACCCTCACACTGCTGGAGTTCTTAATATCCATTTTCTATAGTTGGCATGAAGTGCTACTAAAGGGGGACACAGGGGGATTTGCCCCCTTGTGTATGGAATAAATAGAAAGTAGGAAAGGTTAGATATGTATTTTGGGTTCAGATGATACCATAGTTGTGGGAGTGTCACTAGAGGATGCATTGCTCTCAGTAACATAGACCCTGGTAGATCAATGCAAAGATATCTTTTTTGTGTATCATATTTCACTTAAAGTGAAAATATATATATTTTGGCAGACAAGAGGCAGGCAATTGATTTGATATTTGACATTCTAGATTGATCTTATTGCTGATATAACTTTTATTTAAAATGAGGACACTCTCAGCTATATGAATTAATATGTATCTTTGATGACTGATGGTGATCACCTATTGTATTGTGGCAAGAAGGGATCTTATTGACCTTCCTTGTGATTTACTGCCAAGGATCCAGTACTATGAATATGGAAACAATCCAAGCTTGTATTTTACCAGAATGTAAATAGTGATCCCACACTGCCGGTGCATGAACTCTGAGTCGATGGCTTCCATTGTTGCAGTCCTTTTTTGATAATTTATCTAATTTTTAATTTGTGACAACTGTTTCCTAGAAGAAATATCTTAGAATTCATCAGTGTGTCAGTGCCATACTCTGTTTACCTTACATTCTTTCTTTGTAAGGAACAGAAGAACATACCACTGTGGAATGCAATAAATGGTAATAATAATATTTTGATATGCCAACTTGAATGCACCTGTATAATTTCTCATTTTACACACAAGTTGTATGGGTGCTTTACAGTTTGATGATAATTTTCAAAACTTGATATTTAGCCAAGGTCTCTAGATTTTTCAAACCATTTTTTGTGGTATCTTCAGAAAGATAGACATTTGTTTAGACACTCTTTCTGGATTTTGTTAAGATACAAATGCACAAGGTTTGGCATTTTATAGTAAATACTATATTCAAATATGTTACCTTTCATGTAGCATTTTCATATGTAAAATTATTTTTTACCTCCATACAATATATACTAACTTCACTAATTTGGTCATTGTTGAACTGTATCAAATTTAGTAATAGTGCTAGCAGCTTTTGGAAATATATTTTTGAAAATATATATTCAGGATAATAAACTTATTTTAAGTTTATTTCTTTTCAACCAAGAATATAGTTAATGTTAAGGCAAGTGCACCAATTTTCACTAATCTTGATTACTGGGATTTTAAGCCATATGAGAAAGTGCCTTTGGACTCTCATCATTATCATCAAGGATGTGATAACAAATGTGAAAAAATATATATGTATGTTTGTATGTATATATGTATATATGTATATGTATATATATATATATATATATATATATATATATATATATATATATATATATATATATATATATATATATATATATATATATATATATATATATATATATAATCTGTATTGTTTTCTATGGTCAACCATATAATAATTGTTGATGCCTTTAGCCTGCACATTTTCATAGACTGTTTGTGTCAAGCAGCATAGTATTTAACAGAAATTATGAGGGTTCATGAAGATATAGAGACCAAATTTAGGTAAAATGGTGTTTTTAATTTTCAGAGGAGCTTTATATTCTTATAGTAGTGAGTTTTATAGAAATGAAAAGGATAATTGTGGATTATGCAAATCCTACCATTCTTAAATCATATCAGTGTTTGTTTACAGGGAGAGAAATATGAATACCAGTAAAAAAGTTATGGGAATTCTCTATGTGCTGAATATGTATTTCTTAAATTTTCAAGAAGTTGGCATGAAGAAATATTTTAACATATTCTTATTTTCTACTAAACATACAGTTTACAGTACCTGTTTTGATTTTTGTTTTAGTCTGTGATTTCAAGACAAAGACAGAGATGTTTTTCACAATCTGGAGGAGGTCAGCCACAGCTGCTAGTGTCAGAAGAAAATGGAGTTCGTCAGATTACACTTGCCAACCCTAAGACAAGGTACTTTAATAGTTGGATGTGTTTATCTAGCATAAGTGTTTTTTCCCCCTCCTACAAATATATGTGTGTGTGTGTGTGTGTGTGTGTGTGTGTGTGTGTGTGTGTGTGTGTGTGTGTGTGTGTGAGTATGTGTGTGTGTGTGTGTGTGTGTGTGTGTGTGTGTGTGTGTGTGTGTGTGTGTGTGTGTGTGTGTATATATATATACATATTCATATACATCTACATAAATATATATATATATATATATATATATATATATATATATATATATATATATATATATATATATATATATATACATGTGTATATATGTATGTATGTGTGTATGTATCTATGTATGTATTTATATAGGTCTATAGGTCTCTACCAGACTGATTTTTAGCAGTATACTCAGTCATTAGCATATTAAGAATGTGATCAAATTCAAACCATATATTCAACATTTTAACCCATTCGCATTGGTGTCACATATACGTGACATGCCCACTGTGAGTTTACTTGTTTAATTGTTTTTACACATAGATGGCTACACTTATACTTGTACTGCCTGTCTTGCCTGTTTACCCTTTTCTTTAATTTACAAAAATATTTTACGTTATCTTATTCTGCTGTTACTAATGTTTATAACATTATAGTAATTATAATGTTTATAATAAAGATAACCATCGATATTCATAGAACTAGTAAAAATACATTTTCCCGCCAAATGAAATCAGGTAAGGCAGAGCCATCTATGTGTAGAGACATTTCACAAAAGGTATAATAAATGAGCACAGCATTTTCCCCAATTTTTGTTCATTTTTACCTGTCGTGAATGGGTTAAAGACTGTAATGTGTAGAACTAACATTACAGCTTACATTTTTCTGTCCTGCAAAATCTCACCTATTTTATTGTTAGTTTGATTGCACATTGTTAATTATACTTCTGTGCTTCCTTTTTCTTTTTTTTTATGTATAAGCTTCAAACAGAATCTCTACAAAATATTTTCTTGACATTGGGGTTCTATTTCCTTTTAATAATTTTTAGGATAAATTAGATTTTTTCAGGTATTTTTTTCTAGAGGAGAGAGAGGAACATAAAATGATGCCTATTGTCTAAATATATATTTTTTTAAGTATAATTTTATAAAGGAGTCATATTTATGGAAGAAATTATAAGTTGAAGATCTTTGCCCTGAACTCGATTCATATTATTGTAAACTGTAAAACTTTATGAATATTGCATTTCCTCTAGCCTGTTTTATGCAGTTTTTTTTAGTGAATTTTATTGCAAACAGATGGCTCCACATGTGCTCAGTCACCAAGGAGTCCATTAGTAGGCCATAGTGCCATACATTGTCTCCCCTTTCCCTGAATGTGGAGGATTTTTTTCTTTTTTATGCTATTGATATTGATTCTGTTGTTATTATCATTGGCATTATGGTTTTGATGTTCTTAAAACACTGATATTAATAAAAATTATTAAATGATAAAAATGAATTTTACCAGATATCAAGGAAAAGGGTAAACAAATGAGATAGGTAGGACTAATAATTGACTCTTTGGTGACTAAGCACATATGGCGCCATCTCTGTGTAAAGACCTTTAATAAACTGAAATTACAGTGGACATGGTATGTATTTTTGCTATCAGGGGCCAATGGGTTATCAGCAAAGGCTGATAACCCATGTAAAAGTTTCATTGGAATGAAAATTGATGATCAGTACTATTTCTAGAAATTTATTAACCCATTCACCCTGGATTTATGTTCTGTCCCCTGTAGTTTTTGGTGAATTTTGTTACATAAAGATGGCTCCGCATGTGCTCAACCAGCAAGGAGTCTATCAGTTATCCCTAATTACCGATCCTGATTTTCCCATTCCTTGAATTGGTGGAAAAATGTGTTTTTCTTATTAATACCATTGCTATCGATACTGTTATTATTATTATTGATGTTATGATTATTAAATTGTCATTAAAATATTTTAGACAATGAAATGATACCAAAGACCCTTTCCTAAAGTGTAGGAAAAGAATAAACAGGTGAGATAGGTAGTTCTGATAACTGGCTATTTGGTGATTGAGAACTTGTAGAGCCATCTATGTGTAAATACACTAAATAAACGTGTGTTACAGTGGGCATGTATTCTTGCCACATTGGGCGAATGGGTTAATATTCTGAATGATTTTCATTTCTTGAACAGAAATGCCCTTTCATTACAAATGCTGGAAGAGCTGCATTCTGCTGTGGTGAAAGAGACCCCCAGTTTACGGTGCATTGTGGTCGGTGCTCAAGGCAAGGTCTTTTCTGCTGGACATAACTTGAAGGAGCTGGTGCGTCCCAGAGTAGACATACAGTATATTCAATATGAATATATGAATTCAATTCACTCATACTCAAGTGGACATTAATTTAGTTTAAACAGAGAATTAGGTTAGGAGTATTGAAGATTAATTTGTTTACATAATTAGACCAATTTTCCTTTTTTCAGACTTCCAAAGAAGGTCGAGATTACCACCAACATGTGTTTGAGAAATGTACAGAACTTATGCTGGCTCTGCAAAATATTCCAACTCCTGTTATTGCCAAAGTTAATGGCATAGCAACTGCAGCAGGTTGCCAGTTTGTTGCATCATGTGACATTGTTATTGCTACAGACAAATCTTCATTTTCAACTCCAGGGTGAGAAAATATAAATTAGTTCCTTAAAACTTCATTACTGTAATATTGTAGTAAAATAATTCATATCTAAGTAGTTCAGGAAATCAGATCATATTCATAAGTCATAACTCAGATATTGAAAATAAAATGAACCAAATAATGGATGTTTATCCTTCAAACTTATTTCTCTTAAATAAACTCTTAATTTACTGTCATTCATAATTTGTTACTTGGCACAAATTATGTAGGAAAATAACATATTACACAATGTACAGGGGGATATCCATTACAAATAATTTTCCTAAGTCAGTCCAGTGTTCCATAGCTGTAAAAAAAATATTATTCTCAATCAGAGGAAATGTTGGTATTTTCTGCTCAACTCCCGGTATACCTCTTGTGAGATGTGTACCAAGGAAGGTGTCTGCCCATATGTTGCTGACAGGTCTGCCACTAACAGCAGAGGAAGCTCTAAGGGCAGGATTAGTCTCCAAGATTGTTCCTGAGGAAGAATTAGGTAAATTATCTTATAAAGTATTCGAGTAGATACACCAAAGGCAGCCTATTTGGGTTTAGGAAATAGAATATGCTTGAAAGTCTTTTCTTCTTGCTTTTATGTGAATAGTAGTTCTATTATTATTCCTATATATTAGTTTCAGTTTCCAAAAAATACAATTTTGTAAATGTAAAATTACTTTGGAACCACATATTGGGTTTGGGTCTTTTTTTAAATAATCACATTAAGTCTTGCAGTCATAAAATGTATTTTCTACTGAATATAATCCAATTTCTCATTTAGTTACCTTTTGTGAGTGTTATGTTTGACATATTGCATTAAGAATATATCTTTAGTATAATTTGTTTCAACTCAGTAAAAACAGTTTATTAGAAATATGTGTGCACTTAGATCCCAAGAAAAATATTTAACATTCATGTCCTTTGCTATGCTTAGGTTGTACTATACCAGTGATTCTCAACCACAGGAAAATTTATCCTATGTAGATGAAAATTTATATAGCATAGGGTAAATCTTCAAGGAGATGGCTGGATAGTGTATTGGATCATGACACACACTGTGTATGGTATAACATACACAATAGTATGCTAATCTTGTTCTGAACATCTACACTCAAACCTTGTCACCCATCCCTAGCCAAAGTCTTCCAATTTAGCAGTATTGTTGATAAATGTAGTGTTGCATCTTTATGAAAGAATTTGGTGGAGTTGCTGCTAATATCTGGTTGAAACTTAAAATTCCTTCATTCTTTAGCTTGTTCTTTGTTTCTTTGACATTGTATATGTATATATGCACTGTCACCAACGGCTCCTCATAAAATGAAACCGCTTTTCATATGAGATAAGGTGTTTTTGTTTGCACTCTTATTTGTAAATAGTATAGTCATTGTCTTCATCACCGGTTACTTTTTTCAAAACTGTGTTAAGAGTGTCTTTTTACTAGTTGTGCATATTTTTGACATAGAAGCTAATGGTAAGTACTGTGCTGGATTAATTCTTCCAAATAAAATCATTTCTTTCTGGGAATTAGAGGTACAAATAGAATTACATCCAGCCTAGGGAAATGACAAAGGAAATGTTGAGAATTACTGCACTATCCATATTTGTATGTTTGTCTAGCATCACTTTCATATCCTGTGTGGCTCCAGATAGCCAAGTTTAAAATCATTGATCTTGTAATTAAATTTTTTTCTACATATTTGCATATTTAATTATTTATTTATATTAATATGGGAAAAGAGAGACTAGAATTTGTTCCAGATAAGAATATACTAATTTTCTTTTTCCATATGCTCGATTTAGTTTTATCTGAAAGAAATTTATATGTACTGTTAGTGTGTGTGTGTTTGAATTTTGTTGCAGATGCATTTAGTAAGACATACTCTCTTTTCTTTTTCAGATTCCGAAGTGCAAAAAACAGTAGATGCTATAACTCACAAAAGTAAAGCTGTAATTGCACTAGGAAAAAAATTCATGTATAAGCAGATGGAAATGGGAATAGAAGAAGCCTATAGGTAAGTAAAGAATATTTGTTTAAGATATGATATCAACAGAGACAATGAAGTGTTATTTTGTCTTTTCTTTAATTCTGCGTTAATGTTCTAAACAACTTTGTAAGCTTCAGGAACAAACTTTGCCATTCAGAACATTTCATGTTTCACCCTGTGTTTATATCCCCAATCTAAGGTTAGCCAGCTCTCAGTTATTTAACCCCTTGGTGCCGGGTATGACGTGTACATACTTGCTATGCCCACCATGAGTACTTGTTTGATTGTTTTTATGCATAGATTACGAGCACCGCCTGTCTCGCTCGTTTACAAAATATTTTACGTAATCTTATTTTGCTGTTACTAATGTTAAAAAAAAATTATAAAAAATATAATGTTTATGATAAAAATAACACCATCAATTTTCATAGCACTAGTGAAAAATATGATTTTCCCGCCATTTAAATCAGGCGCTAGCAGAGCCATCTATCGGCAGACATTTCACGAAAAACATAGAAAGTGGGCACAATGTTTTCCCCATTTTTTGTTCATTTTCCCCGGCACCATTGGGTTAAATTATCCCAGAGGGGATACACTTTCCATACCACAAAGTAATTGGCTTGTGTAACACTTGTGGACATCATGATTTCTGCTTTCTTTTGAATCCATTGTCTCAGTTTTATCTTCATTATTATTATTATACATAATTTGATCTTACTGATCCCATTAATTTCAAATAAGCCACATTTAGATAACTATGTATGGGTTAAGATAAAGCAGTTTAAAATAATAATGCAGTATATAGTTTAACCCAAAACCGACTGGCATGGCATGTACGCATATGCCATGCCCCCTTTGAGTTTACTTTTACTATTAACTGTTTTTACAAATAGATGACTCCACTTGTATTAAGTCACCAATGAGCCAATTATGAGTACTACTTATCTCACCTGTTTACCTTTTTCCTTGATTTTTGAAAATATTTTATGTTATCTTATACTGCCACTACTGATGTTAATAACTTTATAGTAATTATAATGTAAATAATAAAAATAACACTATCAATATTCATAGCATTAGTAAAAAAAACGAAAGGTGAAATGAGAGTCATCTATGTGCAGAGACATTTCACACAAAAAAACAAAATGAGCACAGCATTTTCCTGGTGACATTGAGTTAATATTGAGTTTATATTGGCAACTATTTCTGTTGAAGATAAGGGGGGGAACCCATAAATTTCCTTAGTTCAAGTGGATTTTGAGCATTAACCATCATTACTTTACAAAGGCCAATAAAGCCAGATTTTTTATACATGTATATTTAAATATATGTCTATTTGTCTGTTTATAGAAGATATGCATATTCTTTCCCTCTTACAAGTTACTCATAGTGGCCTTGTGTGTACATAAAAGTGTGTGCGTGTGATTGTGCATGCACACATATTTACTTACTTCTGTATATATGATGTTGAAGTTGCAGGCTACATGACTAAATATGATATACACAATATATTTTCAGGGAAGGAGCATGTGTAATGGTAAACAATATCAACATGAAGGATGGGCAAGAAGGTATCACTAGTTTTGTGGAAAAGAGAAAACCAATTTGGTCTCATACAGATGAATAAAAATATTTTGTTGGTAAACAGAATATTTTGCAGCTCTCTTCTCAGGTGTTGCATCACTTTTGTGCTCTTTTAAAAATGAGATTAATGAAAGCATTGTTTTAACTTTATCATTTAGATTTATAGTTCAAATATAGCTATATTTATACTTTGAAAAGTGTAACATTTCTGCATTTACTGTAATTTTACAAAAAGTAGAGCAATAAATTTTCTGTGGTTTGTTATATTGTTAAAGAATAATAAATATTTTACATTAGCCCCAGTAAGTTCTTCTCCTAATAATAATAGTTTAAATATCTAAGGAAAAACAGTTTTATCTTGAAACACCCAAGTACCAAGAAAAATGAAGTTGGAGATATAGTTTTTTGTTTAGCCTTACATCAATGTTTGTTCTGCAGATTTCAAACATGTACTTATTATTGCTATATAATTTCACTAGATCTTAGTGCTGACAGATCATGCTGATATGCCAGATTTCCACTCTCCCAAGCACTATTATGGTTGTGGTTATCTGTCTCAGTTCACAGTATGCAAAGAGACAGAGAGAGGGTAGGTAGGGGAGATAGAAAAAAGGAAGATGGAGACAGAGTGTGAGAGGAAAAGAAAGAGAAAGGAAGAGAGGTAGGAGGGAGAGAGAAAGAAAAAATGGGAGGGAGTCTGATTCACTTGGTCAGTTTCCTCCTCTCTCCTCACTTTCCTCTTCCCTTCCCTCCCTCCTCCCTCCCCCCTCCCCCTCCCTCTCTTTCTCTCTCACTCTCTTTCACTGAAACACACACACACACACACACACTCAGATTTAAACATACATTCATATATTTAAACATACATTCATATATGAGAGATCATATTTATGTTGTAGGTCTCACAATAAGTTTTATAGCTTCTGTTTCAATTAACATCAGATTACTCTGAATAAATCAATTTAGTCAAGAAAATGTATATTAGTTATAAGGAGAAAATATTAAAAGTAATGGTAATAGTAATAATGATAACAATATGTAATGATGATGACAATGACAAATGATAATAATACTATCTTTATAACAATAATAATATTTTTATGTTTTATTATTATTATTACTATTATTATCACTGTTGTTGTTATCATCATCATAATTATTATTTTCTTATTATGATAATGATGGCTATGATGTTAATAATAATAAAGTAAATAGTAATAATAATAATAATAAAAATAGTTTCAGTATTAATAATAATATTAGGAATGGTATTAATAATAATGTGAATTATATTAGTAATAATAAAAATGATGTTAATCATCATCATCATCATCATCATCATCATCATAATTTATAACAAAAATATAATGATAATAATAACAATAATGATAATTATGATAATAACAACAACAACAACAACAATAATAATAATGATAGCATGATGATATAGCTACAAGGTGGGGCTTGGGGATGAAGCCCCTGGGTAAGAAGTCTTTAGGTTCACAAGGAGATGTTTGTGGATTTCCAGAATAGTCTTTGGCAAAAAGCAACAAATGTGCCAGACATCAAAGGTCCCACAGCATTAAAGTGTAATGGCAAAAAGGGTAAACATGAGTTAATGATTAGGATAAGTGGACAGAAGAAAGGATGAAGAAGAGAAGGAAAAGGAAAGGAGAAGGAGAAGGAGAAAAGACCATGCATAATTACTTGAGGCGAGAGCTCCACCTCCTAAGCCTCCCACAACAACAAATAGCAAGGGATTGAGGGGGAAGTGAATAATAATGATAATGATGATGATGATAACTGTAATAGCTATAATAATAATAATAATAATAATAATAATAGTAATAATAATAATTATAATTATAATAATCATTATTACTTGTCTAATATGAATATAAAAATCTGAAGGCTGAATATGTCAGGGATGATCATTTTCTAGAGGGGAGGGAGTACCATCAACTGATATGTAAGGCAGATTTATTGAACTCTGGCATCATTAATTTCAATATCACTAAACCACTATTAGCAAAAGGTAATCATCAAAAAGAGATGTTCATATTTACTGAAATTTATTATACAGTATATTTACACTCATCAGTCTCACCTGATGTATTTCCAATTCTAAAATTCCTTACATTGTTCATCTTTTAACATAACCAAACTAGCTGATTTGGGTACTATATCTTTAAAGAGTGGTTTGCTATGGGTTATATTATCTATAATATGTTCTAGACACCAATGCTTGTGAAGCAAACTATGCTGCAGAGTCCAAGGTCCATAGCGAATGCAGCGCATTTGTGTGCATACAGCAGTGGTCTTGAGCCGTAATGCTAGATCATGCACCAGGTGTTGAAGGTAGACAGCATTTTCATTAATGCATGAAACCTCTGGAAAGATTGTTCAGTTACTGTAGTAAATAAAAATGCATACTAATTAAATATATTTCCTTTGGCTTCATGTTGGTTTCTTGAAAGGCAATTAAAGATGTAGCCTGTCTGCTTATTCATGAAGATGCATGTGACTTGGGTTGCCATATAAGGCCTGCAAAACTCAATTCAACTCGTTATTTTTGATAAAGTTCTTTTGCCTATAACTGTATTCGAATTTTAGTTACTTGAGGATCCAGATAATCTTACCTAGTGTGAAATCTGGTAAATTGAAGTCAACAATTTTGAGAGCATAGATTAATGGTGGGGATTTCTCACCAGGTCTTACAAGGCCCTCAGCTGATAAAGCTTCATATGCTTCCTGTTGATATTAGACATTCATTTAGAAAATTTCTACAACATAAATGGAAAAGTATATTAGAGTATTTTTTATATTGGAACTCTAACTTATATCATTTTTTATTTCACTGCATACTATCATTCTTACTGATCATATGAAGGTGCACCAACACCTGCTGTTTTTTGTTGACAGAACCTCTTACCTGAGACTGTGGGTCAAGACCCAAAAAATTAAGTGAACTCCTCTGATGACCAGCCTGTATGGTCATTAATGTTCGCATCAGGCGTCCTCTTGTTATATGCTTGTATGTTGACTTCCCTATAACCTTCACTCAAAAAGGAGGAAATTATTTAAGTTATTTATGAAGCAATCTGAATATTACACATCACATGAAATACAACACTGATACAACCAAATAAAGGTACACAATAATCAGATTCTGTAATACCTTCATTATAGATTGTTTTTTTTTCTGAAAATAAAACACAACAAGCAACTAACAATTGTAAATGGTGTGCCACTGTATGTTATATCATTATACAATCATTAAAACATATATTAATACATACTAAAACTGATCAAAGGATATCTATTCAATTACAATAAATAACCATGATTAAATGGGTACTCACCTTGCCATCAATAAAGAGCGTGTCAGTTGTTCGTCCAAACTGGCCCGAAACTATGTAGGAACGAATCAACTGTGACTCCCTTACTTTGCGTGTACCTTTTGTGCCACTATTCACACCCAAAATGCAAACTCCTAAGAAAAAGGAATTTCATTTTAATATTCAATACATTTTTACAAATTTAAAGGAAACAACTAAAATTCAATAAGAAAACATATTACAGAAATATCCCGTTCTAGTTGAGTTGTGGTCAAATAAAATAATATAAATTGAGACTGCCAGCACAAAGATTTTTGTTTTTTTTAATGCATGACATAAAAATAAAAAACATAAATCAATAGAAAACCTCATCTACCTGAGATATTTTTATCTAACTGATGGGCCCATGTTAGTTTGATATCCTTTGGTTGGTATCTTGGACCAAGAACTAATGGGTGATCAGCATAGTTCTCCTTCAATTTCACAACCAACTTCTCTGTAACACTGCCTGCAAGGGTTTTATATATTAAATATATATTATAATGCTTAAGCACGGATCATGATTAATCAATCAGAGCAAACAGTTAATAGAAGGAAAAAAAAAATCACAATCACATTTCAATCTGCACCCCTCCATTTGCATATACCAAACTAACCTTCAATGGCAACTATAGGTGTGGCTGGACGAGTCTTTAGTAAATTAAGATCACGGGTAAGGTTACCAGTCATCACTTTTCTCAGGTGATTCATGGTCATATCTGCAGGTTTGTATACACAAAATACACCCTCAAGCATATTCCATGCTTCAGGTGCATACCTGACAACTTTTAGCATTGTTACAGATTTATGGATCTTTACATAAAATCAAAGGGGATATCACAACAATCTTAAGTCCTGTTAATACATGGAGCCTCGATCTTCTTCATATAAGAAGTAAATTGTAACAGTTCCTTCAGGCGTATGAATCTCTTCTTGACAACTTATAAGAAATGATGCACCACAACCATAGGCTAGGCAGGGTATACCTGGAAAAGAAATGCTTTATTATTCACATATCTATTACTCTATAACTCTACCTATATACCTATATGTCAATCTGTCTACCTTTCTGTATATCTATCTGTTTACCTCTATTTCCTTTTCTCTCTCTCTTTGTCCATCTCTATCTATTTACACATTATTGGAGGAAAGTAAATATCTCCAAAATGGATCTATCTAAATCAATCAAACACAAATGGTTTTACATGATACATACACAAAAAGTTTTACATGATACATACCTAGGTTTGCAATTTTCAAAACACGGAAAAATTTGTCATCTACAGAAAGGTCCTCATATGGTCGCTTGGTGCAGTGATACTTCATGTATGGCCAACATCCTGTTCGAAGGATATGATAATTTGCTCCATCAACCTATGAAGAAAATAAATTGAAGGAAGAATAAATGGAAGGAAAGTGCAAGAGCAAGAGTAAAAGTCTCATGCTTTATATATAAGATAATACAATAGCTACCATATGATAAGCATGTAGAGATCTGCAATGTATGGTCAAGATGTTGTATATTTGCCTGTAACTACTAAAACCTATTTTGTCATTCACAACACCCTGGAAAATAGAAAACTACCATCACCCATGGTAATGCATTACACATCATTAATATGCAAATTGGGGTGACAAAGGGCATGTGATGATGAGGGTGAAGGCAGGCTAGGCGGGGTTCAGTGAAGTCAACTTGTGGTGTTGCGAAGGTTGAGGATATTTTCTTAGGGTTGGATGCATGCCTATACTGTATATGAGATGAGCTTGGAACATGCATAGTATTTCTTCATATTTAGACCCTCTCTAAATATGACTAATGAAAGCAACTCACACAGCTTGGAGACAACTGATATTAAGGACAACTGGGAGGAGAGAACCATGGGTATGCACACACAACCAGCATACCAGGGGTGATATCCAGGGTTAAAGAAATGTGTTAATAAATTTACTTACTACAAACAGATATGAAAGAATGGAAGCTTGTTATGAAATGATGGATACAGTCCCATTCAGAATAACCTACTATAAATGAAAAAATAACCTGTGACATGGTATGAAGGACCAAAGGGGTCCTGGACCATCTGAGTCAAATGCAGCATCACTACACACTGTTGGATCTGCATGATAAGAATGGTTCCAGTCATCGGACAGAAGCTCCAAATACTAGTAGATGCCATTAAAGATAAGGTCATATTAGCTCTCACAAAGTTAAAGTAACACCCATGAGAAAGAGACAATGAAATTACCTACATATTTAACCCTTTGCTGACTGGGATGGCATGAACGTACATGCCATGCCCACTGTGAGTCGACTTGTTTGATTGTTTTTACACATAGATGGCTACACTTGCACTAAGTCACCAGTGAGCCAATTACGAGTACTGCCTGTTTCACCTGTTTACCCTTTTCATCAATTTACGAAAACATTTAATGTTATCTTAATTTGCTGTTAAAAATAACACCATCTATATTTATAGCACTGGTAAGAATACATTTCTTCCCACTAATTCAAGGAAAGGTGAAATCAGGACTAGCAGAGCCATCTATGTACAGAGATATTTCACAAAAATATAAAAAACAAGCACAGCATTTTCCCAATTTTTTATTCATTTTCCCCAGCGGCAATGGGTTAAGTGGCCTGAAATTAGTAAAGAGAATATCAAAAATGTTACAGACCAAAGTCAGTTCTCATAACTCAGACTGTCCTTCCTAATGCAACATGTGAGACTGAAAGGAGTAAATATTTGGGAATCAAGACTCAAGAGGCAAGCACTGTCAAAAAGTCCAAACAAACATCATTATACACCACCCCCCTATATATATATATATATATATATATATATATATATATATATATATATATATATATATATATATATATATATATCAAAAAGTCCCAACAAGACATCATTATACACCACCCCCATATATATATATATATATATATATATATATATATATATATATATATATATATATATATATATATATATATATATATATATATTGTGAACAACACGTAGCAAGACCGGATGGCAGAGTCACACCTCGGTCCAAGCAAATGCTTTTCTCCTTGGGCAGGATGCAGGTGTTGCCTTCCTTTCTCTTTTCACACAGGAATAAACATCCGCCCTCCAAGGAAACCGCCGCATAAAAGGGCACGTGCCTATGACGACGGGGAAGGAGACACTGCAAAAAGGCCAAGCGACACAGGGTCCAGCTCCACCACCTCGTCCTCCACCCGGGGACACAGGGGTCTCTTGGGGGTCTCATATCTATCTTCAGAAATAAACCAGCAAGTTAAGACCCCTTTCATTGACCGCCCCAAGACCATCTCTGTTACGCTTACATCTAGTGGCTTGCGTGGTCACTTACACTTACACATATATATATATATATATATATATATATATATATATATATATATATATATATATATATATATATATATATATATATATTTATTACTGAAGTAACAAAGTAGCTAATACTTCCAATTATATGCTGACCTTCCAATTGAAGTGTGATAAACCCCTCTGGTCACTGGTTACATCACTATATTTAACAAAATATGATGTCCAATGAGGGAGATGTCTTTGTCGCAAATGAGTTGTAAGGACGAGAGAGGCTGTAGGTTTAGCTTCTTTTATCCTCCTAAAAATCTTGAGTGTCTGGCTCACATGCATCAGTCCTAAAAGGAAAAGATTTAAAGTCCATAACATTTTACTTTACATCTTCAAAACACAAGCTCAACAAATAATACATGGCAAATGACTACAACATATAAAAAAACTAAGAGAAGTATCTGCTATAAAACTAAAAATACTTCTGCATGTAATGGTCTGACACTACCTACAGTATAACATAATCTTAAATGACAACAGAGCTGAGTCTTTCAAATATATGATTTTTCTTAATGTAGGTAATTAAATCAATAACATAATTATTTGAAGCCCTAACCTATAAAATATGAATAATATCTGTAATGTGAATAAATGTCATATATTCATCCCATTACTACCATACAGCCCAAACTAGCTCTCATGCATTTTTTGAAGAGAAAAATAATGTCAAATAAACAGACTCCAATTGGTAAAAAAAAAGGGAGATAATTTTTCCCTTGATCAGATTCTCATTCTTATTTATGTATCAAGGCAATTCCCTTTCTTTCTTTTTTGTACCAGTAGCATTTATATAAAGATACATTATATAAATAAACTTCTTTCACATGCTGGTATAGGCTCCTGTCACTAATAATCTACCTTAATGAATATGATTATAAAAAAATTGTATCAAAATCTAGAAAAAATATAACCCAACATGCTGAGATTGCGTGAAAGATATGCAATCTCCACTGTGGTTATCATATGGGACACAAAATCAGACATTTGATAGTCACATGTAACAAACAGATAGTTTGTGATGTATCATGCACATCAGTATGGTAGTAATAATAATCTTACCTTGGTTAAAAAGTTCATTATTAATAGTACTCTTATTAATTTTAATTGACATATAAAATATTACCTTTATAATAATGCATAAATGAACATGAAATTAAAGGGACTATGAGAAGCTAGTTAAACTGCCCTATCCACCATAAAACTCGTAGCTATATAAAGTGGGAAACTGTTCACTCTTGCACACTTAGTAATAGCTACATATATCTGTGTCAGTATATTTAGTGAACCAACGCATTATCACATCATTAAAGAGGTGAAATATACGAGTGTTTTTTTTCCCTCTATTTCACTATGAGTGTACTACATATGAGATACATATACATCTGATACATATCACCAAATGTCATCAAAGTACTTTTACTTGAATAAGTAACTGCTCCATATTATTTAAGAAAGTAATTCTGATCATTATAAGAAAATAAAGGAGCAGTTATAAGTGGTGGCAGCAGTGGGATATATGTTCCTGTAACACTATTTTATTCTATGGTTACACAGGTACTTAGTCAACAAGGAATTCATTACTAATCCTGATTATCTCACCTGTTTATACTTTTCAAGACTTTTAGAAAGACTATTATATCTTATATTACTATTAGTATTTTTATATATAATATATGTTAAATATAACCATTTTTTATAATATTATAATCACTATACCAATAACAATAATAACAGTACTGATATTAATATCATGTACAGATGCAATCTCTTGTTACTAGGCTAACATTTTAACTATATTATGATCTTATATTTTATAAACTGATGGAGGGCAGTAGGTAGTAGGACGGTAGCAATAGTATATATTCACTGGCTATTTTAGTATTTTTAGTCTCCTGATACTTATTCTCTTATCCTTTAAACTTGGTTCTTGTTCTAAAATGTAGCAATGTCACCTGGAATAAATAATCTGGTAACACATTACTGCCACACCCATGACGTGTAAGGCCTGTCTATTTGCTTGGTATATGGGACTATCGAATGTCTGTTTTTGAGTCCTTATGACACTACTTTCACAAGTGTAAATGTAAAAACACCGCTTCCATGGCAGACGTATTGCCTCTACATATACCGAAATGATCAACTGACAATCGTAGGAAACATGATAATCACAACTATCTTTTGTATTTATATTATAATATGGGTAAACGTATGTAGCGTACCTGCTGCAAGGTGAAAATAATAATAGACTCTCCCGTTTCTGGGCTACTTGACCCTCATCGCATGTATTGCTAAACATAAACATAGGATACGGATGTAAAATTATTTCATTTCTGTAGAATATACAAGTTTTTTTTTTTTAATAGTATCTTTTGTTAATAAATAGTTTACAAGTATTTTAGTTACGGATTTTCTTGTAAAAAAATATATATTTTGTTGATTTGGGATGTTTCATATCATGAGCAATTTGCATCCATGACCTTAGCAAGAGGAGTAAGGTCCCTGAGCGAATCCCGCAATGTCGGTCTATTTCTGCAGAATTTTGCGACTATTTTAGGACCGGCCGGTGGAACAAACTCCAGAAACATGGGAAAGTCCAGTAAGGCGAAGGGAAGCAAAGGAAAAGATGCCCAGGTACTAATAACTATCCCCATAACAGTTGTTTTCAGTCACAACTTTAGAATTGTGCCCTGTTAATATTGCTTTTATTCATTATTTTTTTTATCATCTGAATCCTATTTTTGATTATGTATCAGGACAATGCTGTCATATTTACTTTATGCTTTATGCAGTCTTTTTCTGTAACTGCTAATGGATACCCTTGTTAACCAATAACCTGTAAGTGTAACTTGAATTGGGAGTTAGAGGGAAATTGTGTCATTTCGTGGATTTATTTGGAATGAGATATATTTTATATCATACATACATACATACATACATACATTTATATGTGTGTGTGTGTGTGTGTGTGTGTGTGTGTGTGTGTGTGTGTGTGTGTGTGTGTGTGTGTGTGTGTGTGTGTGTGTGTGTGTGTATGTGGAGTGAGTATACACACACACATACATTATATATATATATATATATATATATATATATATATATATATATATATATATATATATATATATATCTATATATATATATATATATATTGTGTGTGTGTGTGTGTGTGTATATGTATATATTTATTTATCTTTATGTGTGTGTGTGTGTGTGTGTATATATAATATATATATATATATATATATATATATATATATATATATATATGTGTGTGTGTGTGTGTGTGTGTGTGTGTGTGTGTGTGTGTGGTGTGTGTATATATATGTAAATGTATATTTATTATTATTATTATTATTATTATATATATATATATATATATATATATATATATATATATATATATATATATATATATATGTATGTATATGTATATATATATCTGTGTGTATGTGTTCACATTTGCTATAGGTATATGTGATATATATGTGTATATTTTCTTGAAATGTAGAACATCAAGTCTTTCAGTGACAGCCTGTTATATACTGCTCACAGGCAGATGCTGGAAAAGCTGCTTCAGATAGCCCAATCTCCACTGATAAATCTGGCAATGTCATGCTGAAGATTGTAGCCAAACCAGGAGCCAAAGAAAGTAAAGTTACTGGTAAGTCTCACTATTAAAGAATATATATACTAATTTTTTATGAAATAATGTGAATATAGGATTATGTAATAGTTGATATATGAATTACATGCACAGTATCTGTGATATATGTCAGTCAGCATTATATTTATATAGATTCATATATATATATATATATATATATATATATATATATATATATATATATATATATGTATATATATATATATGTATATATACATACATATATATATATGGATTTATATATATATACATACACTCATTCTATTACCATGTACAGACATATCATGTGAGGGTGTTGGGGTACAAATTGGTGCTCCCCCTATGGATGGAGAGGCCAATGCAGAACTTGTGAAGTTTCTTGCCTCAGCACTTGGAGTTCGGAAGAGTGATGTGAGCCTAGAGAGGGTAAGAGTTCTTTTTACTCATATGTAGTATTTCTTTATATACACTTTGATTGAAGTAGAACCTGTCTTTATTTCAAAACTGAAAAATTCAAATATTATTAGGTTTAAAATCATTACTCATAATTAGATTATGTACGTATGTGTGTTTGTGTGTTTTAGAGACAAACAGACAGGGAGAGGGGGAGAGGGAGAGAGGGAAAGAGAGAGAGAGAGAGAGGTGTATCTTAGTATTCATGTTAATCTTATAGATGATCATAGTACTCTTGTATTTCTCAATTTAATTATAACATTGAATTTTTTGTTTATCTTTTCCCAGGGATCGAAATCAAGACAGAAGACAGTATGTGTGAGCGGGTTACAAGCAGAGGATGTGGAGACAAAGATTAGAAATTTATGTTCTTAAGTTTCTTATTTTTTCATCATCAGCCATTAGATTGTAAGCTCTTCTTCAACTGTGTATCATCATTAAAGTAAAAAAAGAAAAAAAAAAGATATCAGGCAATTGAAAAATTTGCTCCTAAATTTTGATTTTGCATATACTACATTCATTTTATGAATATATGATACTCAGTAGACATTTAGGAAGATGAAGCATATATTTATTTGTAATATTTTTTATTGTTAAAATTATTATATTAGATAAAATGGATATTTGTAATGACGCTTTCAGTTTCTCCTGTAGAAAAAATAAAAATAATTTTTGTATTAGAAAGTTGATAACCATAGATCAGTTATGTAGGGATGAAAATAACAAATTGAAATGGAAATGAGATCAGTAATTCTTTAAAAATGAAGTCTGGAAGGATACCAGCAATGAATGGTAATTCTTACAGAGTGAATAATACAAGTAAAATAATAATTAACCCATTACTGCCGGAGAAAATGATTTAAAAATGGGGAAAATGCTGTGTTCATTTTTTATATTTCTTTGTGAAATATCTCTACACATAGGTGGCTCTGCCTTACCCGTAATTGGCTCATCGGTGATTTAGTACAAGTGTAGCCATCTATGAGTAAAAGCAATTAAACAAGTAAACTCAAAGTGAGCATGGCATCAACATACATGACACACCCGTCGTGAATGGGTTAAGAGCAGAAACTAGAAGCAATAAAGACAAACATGGCAGAACTACAAGTAATGATGACTCAATTATTGCAATAACATTTTTAAAATATAAGGCTTAAGCCTTTCTTGTACTTCAACAAAGATTTAAGAAAAAAGTCAATTAAGGAAACATTATTTCACTTAATCTATATCAGTTTGAATGGAAAATGATTCCACTATGTTAATTCAAGTTGCTGAAAATTCACAGTATTTGGGTTGAATCCTCATGTAAACCAATTGTCCAGTTTCAACCTAATCAGTATTTTGTCTCTTATGGGCAGTCTCCTTACTTCTTATCAATAAACAGACAAATACAGTGTAAACTGTTCTTGTATAAGAAACATGGCTCAGATTCATTATTGTTTGTATAACTTGAAAAATTAAGGTAATTATTAAATTAATCAGTTAGAGGGATTAACTCTGAGGAGAGTGCATGGCCACATCCACTATTAATTTCCAACCATGAGGATCTCTCTCAACAAGCCACCAGGCAGGATTTAGGTCCATATCAAATACCTCACAATTTTAATTGATTTTCATAGTTGTCCAAGATGGTGCCTAAAAGAGACTGATGAGTGTGATCATACTCAGCAAGTTAAGTCAAGTGACAATATAACCTGAGTTTTTAGTCTAGGCTTCCAAAACTAACAGAGACTCCAAGGCACATGAAGAAGTTCAGGTTTTACTGCCTTTTAGCAGAACCAGCCAGCAATATCAAGACCTAGAAGACATGTAGTTTGGTTCCTCCAGGAACTCATCAAGAGATATTCCTGCCACTCAGCCTATTATTCTATTGACTTCATAGTCTGACAGACCACATCATGAACTGCATCAGGAGGTTCTGTAAAACACCAGTTGACTTTCTTACCTAGACCCAAAAGTTGCATTCATATATTAAATGGACTAAATGCTGTCACTATGGGTTCCTGAAACTCAGATAAGATAGCAACATCACTGGCCTAATGTCCCACAGTGACTTGGTTGGCAGTTCTGTGCAACTTGCAGACCATGCTAGTGATAAAAAGTATTGCCTCACACTTCAAAGATGTATTTTTACCCAATACTTTTTATCACTATACATACATGTGTGTGTGTGTGTTTAATATATATGTATATGTGTGTGTGTGTATACACTCACACACCTGTATGTGTGTGTGTGTTTAATATGTATGTATATGTATATTATATATATATACATATATATACACATATGTGTATATACGTGTGTATGTATGAATATAACTATACACACACATGCACACACACACACACACACACACACACACACACACACACACACACACACACACACACACACACACACACACACACACACACATACACACATATGTATATATAGATAGATAGATAGATATAGATATAGATATCTACATATAAATATGAATATATATAGATAGAAAGATGGATAGATAGATATAGATATGTATATATAAATGTATATATATGTATAAATCTAAATATATATATATATATATATATATATATATATATATATATATATATATATATATATATATATATATATTTAAATATATATATATATATATATATATATATATATATATATATATATATATATATATATATATATATATATATGAATGATGAAAACACTCTACCGTGTTGATACTATGGTAGAAAAACCCACAATGTAAAAACTAGATCGAGGATTGTATAAGTAACAGGTCTGTACCGGTCTCACGGTGCAACCGTTGGTTGGACACATGGTCCCGCCAACTTTACCCCATGATCCGGCACAAGCATCTGTTAAAAAAGGCGTCAAGACGAGATTCCAAAGCATAAGATAGCGTCCATGTTCCACTACCATAAAGTAAAACTGGCAGTATCAGGGCCTTGAAGACATGTAGCTTGGTCCTTCTGCACAGGTACCGGCATCTCCAAATACTCTTGTTGAGAGATTTCATGACCCTTGCTGCCAGGCCAATCCGTCTACTGACTTCCTGGTCTGACAGCCCAGAGTCATGAACTGCACTACCGAGGTATATAAAGCACGATGTTTTCACCCCAAGCATGTACCAACTGCACAGGGTCCCCTAGGTCCCCAAAATCCTGGTCTTGGTCCAGGAGACCTCTAGCCCCAGGGGCTTCATTTCATTGCTAAATCCATCAAGAGCCGTCACTAGGGTTTTCAGAGATTCAGATAGAATAGCAACATCATCAGCAAAGTCAAGGTCTGTTACCTTGATATTGCCCAGAGTTGCTCCACAGTGACTCTAGACAGAAGCTCTACCCAGTATCCAGTCCATGCAAGTGTTGAAAAGTGTTGATGCAAGAACACCTAAACTAACAGAGAAGAAGCTCGACAGGTCCCCACCACACTTTAGAAACCTGTAAACAGGTTTGCTATTAATCCAATAATCCTTGTTGGAAATCCTCTTAGTCTCAGGATCTCCCAGGGTGATTCGCAATGCACTGTATTAAACACCTTTTTGAGGTCGATGTAAGCTGCGAGCAGCCCATGTCTAAAACTCACGACGTCGCTCTACAGAGACTCGAAGTGTCAGGATATGGTATATTGTGGACTTACCAGGAGTGAATCCAGATTGCTCCGGGCTCGAGTACCTTAGTAGGTGGTCTCTGATACATCTCAGTAAGATGAGCACGAGTACCTTGCCTGGTATACTGAGTAGTGTAATGCCTTGATGATTGCTGCAGTCCCACTGATCCCCTTTCCTCTTCCAGAGATGGATGACCACACCCCTCAGCAGGTAAGGGGGAATGATACCAATCTACCAGATGACAGACAGGACAGCATGCAATCCCCTTGCCATAGGTTCTCCGCTAGCCTTTAACAGTTAAGCTAGGATGCTGCAGAAACCTGCTGCTTTACCACTCTTCAGCTTGGAAATTGTCCTCCTGACTTCAGTCAGGGAGGATGGATCCTCGCTGATGGGTGGGTCTGGCAGAGGAATCTCAACATTACCCACGTCCAAGTTAATTGTTAGTGGATCAACCTGATACAACTGTTCAAAATACTCAGCCCAATGCACCCACACCCCATCAGGATCTGAGATTATCTGGCCACTTGCTGAGCAGACTGCAGTCATCTGTGAAGAGGGCTTGGAGTTCAGCTTTCTCAGGGCTTGGTAGGCAGGACGAAGGTCATTTACTAGGAGTTGGCTTTCGACCTCCTCTGCAAGATTCCTGATAAACTGTTCCTTATCCCATCTTAACAGTGACCTAATCCTGCGCACCAGAGAACGCTGCAAGTTGAGATCCCCTGACAATCGATCTGCACGACATGCATCTGTGACTTCTAATGTCTCCTGCGAGATCGAATTTTGTCTTGCTCTTGAGCGTTCACCAATCGATTCTTGGGCTGAATCAAGTGTTTCTTCCCATAGAAGAACAGGATCCGCCAGGCCCTCGAGTGCTGTGAAACGACCAGAGATAGCCTCGGCAAACTCTCGGGAACACTCATCCTCCCTTAATCTGTCCACATGAATCACCCTAAGGTATTCATAGGAGCGATGGCGCGTACTAAAGTGGACCCGGAGAGTAGCCACAACTAATCTATGATAATTTCCACAGAACTCGGGGCTCCGATAGACCCTGCAGTTCTGAAGGATCCTCCATCGAGTGATAACGATGATGTGGTCGATATCCTTGGCCACATTACCCGTATCCCTGTACCAAGCCCAACATGCGGGTCAGAATGCTGATACCAGGAGCCAGAAATCCTCAATTTCTGGGACCTAGCAGAGGAGGCCATTCACGCAGACAGTATGAGTTCCTGAGCCATGAGGACCGACAGACATCTCGTAGACAGCTCGATCGCAGCCAATACGGCATTGAAGTCACCCAGAACAATACGAATATTTCGTCAAGGACAACTGTCAGTCACAGATGCAAGTTTGGCGTAAAACATCTCTTTCACCTCAAGTTTATATACATCTGTAGGAGCGTACACATCAATAAGAAACATAAAACCAATAAAACCAGTCTCAATACCATAATACGCTCATCGACTGGAGTGACCTTTACTACACACACACACACACACACACACACACACACACACATATATATATATATATATATATATATATATATATATATATATATATATATATATATATATATACATATATATATAAATATATATATATATATTTATTTATATATATATTTATATATATATATATATATATATATATATATATATATATATATATATATATATATATATGTGTGTGTGTGTGTGTGTGTGTGTCTGTGTGTATCTGTGTGTGTTTAGATAAAAATGTGTGTATATATATAGATAAATATCCATATATACATATGTATATCCATATATATATACGCACACACACACATATACATACACATACATATACTATATA